ACGAAAAAATTATCCCACTGTTTATATATGTAGTACACCAAGTCATGTCCGTATTCGAGCAGCTTCAAAAACTTACACCAGTGTGAAGTAAGCTGAAATTATACTAGGTTTAAGATCAAAAATTTTACACAGTTACAAAACCACTCACACTTATTTTCAAATGATTCAAAGTACTAATAATCATTTCTTAATGCGTAATAAGCAAATTCGGTAATTCACGATAAAGCAAATACGTGTTTGTTTTTACTAAACCGTGTTAACATAATTTTTAAAAGGATATTCCCCGACAGTACATAATATCAGTCATGCCACCAGCACACCGGAAATAGGCATTTCAAATCGTAAGTAAAATCACTCCTGGTCGTGATGCAACAAAACCATCTATCTTTAAGAAAGTGTAAGTAATATTCAAAACACGTACAACATTTTTTTACACGTGCGTGAGAGGTCTCTCACCTGTGATTCCTGCGTCAACTAAAAGTGTAGATATGAACTAGTGTTAAGGTTTGCCCAATGCTTTCACCAAGTAATTCTTGTTCAGTTTGAGCGAAAGTTCTAGTTTGTCTACGGCTGTTTTAAGAAAACTTATGTAATATTATATTTCATAACTACAGCAGACTTCCAAATATGGAAGAGGTTTTTTTGTAACTAACACAGCTTAACAGCACACAACTACAGCAATACTCTTATATACCAATTCAATTACAAATGCACGATACAGAGGGTTGAGTACGTTATATTAAAACTATTTTGAATAAAAGAATGAAAAAGATGTTCATGCTATTCCATACAAAGAAATACTGGTCAAGGTCATATGCAGTGCCTATGGGTTTATGAACTGATTGTACTGTTGAAACAGGCACTGAGAAATTTTCATTTTCATAAACTAGATGGATTATAGAAAGCAATGAGGAGGAGTGGTATGCTTTGGAAATTAAAGCCTTGAGACAGAGCTTTTTGCAAAGAAAACTACACTGCAGTACTATTGTTGTCAGATAAAGCATGATGATCATGGAGTGAATGAACTGTAATGATGTAATGAGGTTCCAAAGTAGTTTTAATACACAATACTCAACATTTGCACAAACCACAGATAAACTGAGCCTTCTGTGAAATACTGAGGAGTTAATAAGTATCTTAATCATTTTTGACTAACTTTAAAGTGAATGATAACGAACCATTACTGAAATATATGAAATTTATTGTTTTTACTATTCTAATACAAGGCAATTCAGAGCTCTTATAACCATGCAGAAATGCTAAAATACCTGTTGCTTTTCTCTGTCTGAAACCTAACAGCCTTTTCACAAAAACTATTAGCAGATGCATTTGCAAATTACATCTGTTTAGATTAGAAGTTTTTAATAAATTAACTATTCAAAGTTATATAAGATCTGTTACAAGACTGATTGTTATATCATATACATATTACTACCAGAGGATTGTTTGTAGTTTTAAAAAATCTAATAGCAGCATTTTATTGTACCATAAGCACCACAAAATACATACTCTACAAACTGTTTAAAAATAGTGTTTAACTTAACAATACTGTAATAACTAGTGCAAGACAAGATTGCTTCAGATCTAACTGATGTTAGGCCCAAGCACATAAGAAGTTTTGGCACTGTAAGTCACATACCATAGTTAATAACTGTGTTCTGTTTAAGCTAATAAAGGTAATCAAACACATTTGAGTGAAGCCAGAGTGTGATAAAAAGGTTGGACTGAAGAAAATGAGTGTTTAACCATATCAACATCTCTATTTGTTTTAAGACCTAATCTTCATATTTGAAAAATATTACATTGTAAAAAATAAAAATTAAATGAAATTTACATTTATTAAAACTTGGGTTTTGCCATATCTACATAATTAATAATAGCCCCATACACTTGTAATTATTTTCTTTACTTAATTACCTGTAGATCATACAGGAACCAAACAGATTGGCAAGAAAAGTACTCTCTCTAAAAATTTGTCAAGCCCGACTTTAAATTTTAGCAATGAAAAATGATTTAATTCTAAAAATCATTTCCATCAAAAGTTACTGATTTTCATACTTTGTCTTATGCTATTCATAGTCTTACATTCCAATTAAAACACAACTATACAAATACATCCTGTCATTTTAGAAGCCAAGTAAAGGATGGATTAAAGTCCACATTTTAGAACCTATCACACAAATTCATCTCATTCCTGATGCTTCATGTACTGGCAGAGTATAAAGAAAACAAACTTAAATAAAACCTGATATTTCACAGGCTGCTTCATGCAATATGAAACAGTTGGATAACTTAAACTGACATAAAAAACAAATATGCAATTCATCAGAATAGTTGTAGCCTTAGTAACATCAGTACAAAAGTGATTTATTTCTGCATAAAGTTCAATTCAGTCAAGAACCAAGGTTGGAACTTATTGACAGAATAAGAGGAAGTGGTTAGAATTTTCATCTGAAATTCAATGTAAGCATTTTGTAACCTTAAAAAAACATCTTATGAGTAGAGCAAGCTAAAACTGAATACTTAATGGGAGTGCAGAAAACTTGCCTTCCCATGCACACAAAAAATGTTCACATTGCCATGTACTTATTGATCTTAATGCATTATTAATTGTGTTATTGTTTTCTTTTATATATTAGTGTTAATATCATTTTAAGTAGGTCTTTAGGATATGCCTTTCTATTATTTATTCATACATATTTTTAACATATGTCTTGTTACTAAAGTTTGTAAAATGTAGATTTATCCTCGGTCTGAAAACTGCCAGCAGATATTCTGACTCAAAATTTCTGTCAAAATGTGAAGGCAATTATGCAAATTAAAAAAAGTTTACTGAAGCTGGCTTGAGAACAGAAAAATGCACTGATATTATATAATGTTTAACGACAACTAGTATCTATATTAGAGCAACCGAGTTTTTAAAATACAGTTCAGTTTGTCTTTCTAAATTTCAGGATATCATCTTCTAGCCAAGACACATTAATTTCTACTCATTGATTCTTGCTTAAAGTTGTCTACAGATATTAATAAATTTTAATATATTTTATGAACTACACCTGGGAATAAAAAAATACGTATTTGAGAGTCTATTATCACACCTTATGGTACATCCATTACTAGGCAAAACAGATTTCTGTAGTTTCTTGATCAACATTTAAAGTTTTGGGAAAAACACAAACTTGTATGTGTGTTTTTTTGTTTTTTTTTCAGTTAAATGTTGAAAGTATATAGCAAGACAGATCAGAAGAACAAAAGTTGCCTACTGTGAAAGGTTTATATGAGTTAATATCTACAAAACATTTAATTCTTTTACAAAACTGTAGATAAAAATTCATCAAAGTGGCAAACGCTTACCATTTACTAGTCATTTCTTACATGATTTTAAACAGCAATGATTATTCTGGGCACACAAATAGTATAACTATAGTATGGTAACACTAACATTTATGTAAACACACACACTATACATACAACAACCAATACTTACAGTGTTTTAGCTCAATTTTCACAGAAGAGACTCATTTATTGAAAGTTAAAATGAGAATCAGATATTTGAAATAAAAAAGAAAAACATTTCTTAATTTTTTGTTCATTGTAAAGCTAATTAATTGTTTCTAAGCTACTGAACTTGCAGTAGAAATATATAATAAATTAGAAGTAACTTGAGTTTATCTTTATTCCAGGTAGTCTTTGCCAAAATGCCACGATGGAAATACTTCAATTATAATTTTTTGCACAATTTAGGGATGTTATCTTACATTAAATTACCATTCTTATTGTAACTGGGCCTGAACTACATACTGAGCTTTCCAAGGCCTCATCAGTCTTATGCAAAGATGCAATACCATTCTTACTCTTAAGTTCAAGAATCCAACATACATAGTACCCAAAATTCTTTATTTTCTCTTTTCATTGCTATTAATCTCTCTATTTTTTCACATCACCAATATTCCTCTCACTCAAGAAGTAACTGCTTTACAAATAACCATATCTCAAAAAGCATAAATTTACTCTTCTGAATACAAAAACACTTTTTTTTCACATTCTGGTCCAGTCACTAAGCATAATAAACATTTTTAATATAATTTGGTCTCCTCTGCATTATCAGCAAATATAGAAATATTGCTATCAAAGAAAGTATCCATATCAACAAATAATATCCAACGTCTCAAAACAGAACCCTCGTCATATTTTCCAAATAAATATAAAAATATCTGTATTAATTCTTTGCTTTCTACTATTATTCCTTAAGCCAATTTTATATCTATGTTTGACTTTTCCACATATTCATACTACTTTTGTGTTAATAGCTAATGAAACCACAAATTCGACAATATTCTGCTGTGATATCTCTTACTTTACAGTTTACTGCGTATATAGATCAAAATGTTTTGGTGCGTACGGTGAGTAGCAGTTGCAGATATAAAACAAAATCTTTCTGTTATACACAATACATATAGTCAGTAACTGATATCAAATAACAAGTTGGAATTAAAGCGACTCTAAACGTTTTTTACCTATAATACATCTATAGACTATAGATAGATCTCTATGTTTTGAACCTGTATATTCTGATAAGAATACTCAATTTATTCCAGTTACTTTGCATATAATTTAAATGAAATAATCAAATTTAAGAACTAAATTTAACAGTTACTTACTACGACAGCCTTCAGTATTTACTGTAAAGCACTCATTATAATCTAGCAAAATTACTAATTAACCACACCTAAAAAATTAGTTTTCATTGCGTCTCTGATTTTGAATTTGTTATGGAACTGCGGAGTTAATCGATACATATTTTAAATTAAGTTAATATATTTTAAAAGTTACGGTTTAAACGCCAAAAGCCGAAGAAATAGGTTAAAGATGGTTATAAAAACATGTTAACTAGAGGGGAGGAGTAAAAATACGTCTTCAGTTAACTTGTTTTAATTAGGGGATCGGATAATGTTATTATAATAATAAATATGTATTCCCACAGAAAAGTGGTTACTTACATAAATTAAACCTGAGAAATAACGGTCTTTCAAATTGTACAGGACAGATGCTTCGTTCAAGCATGTCAACTCTGCCATGTCTTCTACTTTATTAAATTTTGGGGGATTCATTTTCTGGGCATCATCTTTGTTAACAATGCATCTTTTTCCTGTCTCTACAATTTCCACTTCCAGTTCATCACCTCGATCCACCTTGATACTCGCTGCAACGAAGCCTTGTTGTTCGTGAGGCACCCATATCAACTTTTTTGATGTCCATTCTGCCTGAATACTTGCATCATTTATTCCAACATTTCTGTCCACAACAAGGTATTTCAGTTCGGGATCTTTACGAAAGTCCATCGTGACTGTGTCCGCCATGTCGCTAGGATTGCCCGTGGGTTATTGTATCGAAGACCTAGTGAAGTTGCAGTTGCCGGTATCTATTTGTTTTTATCTAGCGAAGCAATACTTAACTTGTGAAATTTTGAAATAAACAAATATTTAACTTTTCGAGCAAAAAATACACAGGTAACCGACTTAAAGATTCAAATTTTGAATATCTAACTGTTAAGCAACAAAGGTATAAAACAATTCACCCTAATACTACTCGTAATAGAGAAAGATAGTATCATATATTTACGTTGTCATCCGACAAGTAAGCTACAGACAGAACTTCAACTACTTGCTAGCAGCGTAACACATCATATGATCCCACATAATGCCAGTACACCTCTCAACTGTTAAGATTAGGACTAATACGATCGGCCGCCGCCCGGATGAATTACTTTTCTGCGCATGTCAAAAAGTTAGCAGCACCACAGTCTACGTAGCTGACATTCTGAAAATACCGGGGACAACGGCGTACTTTTGATGAATCACCGGTAAACTGTGTCATGGGTACAAATTTTATATCCTGACGATAAAGTCACATCCAAAAATAATTTGTGGAAGTAACATATTTCCTATCTCCACACTATTTCTAAAATAATGTTAATGTTCTAAAATATATTGAAGATAATTTAAAGTTGTTACAAACAACAACAGAAAAAAAAACGCATTTTTTTTGGTTGTTACAGTACACGAATCAACAGGCGATTGAACTGTTAACTATATCAAAGAAGAAAGGTCTACCTTTCGAAAGCGCTCGGGGTATGGGGTTTTTGTTCATTTATATCAAACACATTCATTGATTTACAACTTGACCGAAAATATACAAGTTTTGCATCCCAGTGGCTCAGAGGAAAATCTGAATGTTTATAACACTAAAAACCGGGTTTCGATACCAGTGGTGGGCACAGCACAGATAGCCCATTATGTAGCGTTGCGCTTAACAGCAAAAACATAACAAACAAACACACAGGCCTTTATTAAATAAAAAAGCACTAAAATGATAAAAATACGAAAAGAAAAATAACTGGGGTGTTTATTATGTATTTCCAATCAGCCTGGTAATATTTGCACTTATGTTAACAGCAGTGTTTAAAGTGGTTTGAAAAAAAGTGCCGGTATGCACATATTTGTGAGGGGATGCAATGTTTCCGGAGAATAAAGGCAGCGATCTGAGGTGAAACATACTAGCGCTACAATTCCGGAGACACTAAAGCCAAAGGTATTTCTGTGGAAACCAAGGAGGGGCGCGGGTAGGGTGTTTTGCAGCAGTAGAACATTTTTGTTGGTGGTGGTGGTATATTATACAGCTTTTTTTTTTCTTTACTGTATGCATATCGGCTCTTACCGCTTCACTTTGACCACTGCCTAACCAATTAATAGAACTATAGCTGATGTACAAGTTCATTAAAGAAAGCTAAATGAGAGCAATACGTAAAATAAAGATAAGGTATGGAAAACCACTTAATTCTCAGCCACATGGCCAAACTTTTAGCTCATAATCACACCAATGAGAAGAGGGAGACTCTTCTCACGAATTTTACACTTCATGACAATGATTGTAGAAACTAACCTACTGGACTTTATTAGCTGAAGACCAGGAGGGGTGCGGCATGGCCCAGTGTTTAGCGTGCCGGGCTGTGAATTGGAAGGTTTGAGGTTCGACTCGGTGATATATCTGCTGAACACTCCCTGCATTCTCAGCTGTGAGCGTATTACGAAAGTAAGTCAATGTTGTTATTCCATTAAAAGTAACCGTGTAAATGGTGTAACAGCCGGTGCTACTGGCCGGTTGCTCTCCCTCTGGTTATCAAATCAAACTTAGAGATGGTTGTTTAGTCTATATCATATAAAGCAATTCTCATGTTGAAAATACCAAACTTTTCTATCACCTATGTGACCACAGGTTAAAGGTATTGCTGTAACGTGTTCTTTCGTTGAGCAGGATCCTTTGGATTATGAGATCAAAATCATGCCAAGTTCAGTTCATGTAACGATAACGAATTAACTTATTTTTTCAATAATGTTTACTAAAGACTTTGTGCACTTGTAAGTTTGACTTTAGAAACAACGTTTTAATAGAAATTCCGACACTAATGGCACGCTAAGCTCACAACTAAACTTGCTTGCAGAATTTCCTCGCTAATCAATCGACAAAAAATATGCTAACGAAACCCCTTTTTAGCTTACTAAGTGAATTCCACATACCTGAGCAGTCACTAACTGTCACGAACTGATTTGCTCATTAGCTCACTGGTTAACTAACTCACAAACTAGTATTTATATCATTATTCGTTTTATATTTACTACACGAAATTTCTAGATCATTTCATTATCACCATGATTAGCCCCTTCTAGCAAATAAACATCTAAATTAAAATATTCAAAAATATAGCTTTCAATTCTGTCGCCTTCCTGGATTGTGAAGTTCTTTCAACAATCCTAATACACAAATACAACATTACGTTCTCTTTTTGGTGTTTTTCTTTTCCGATGGCTATGATAGGCAGACGGGATGACCTCTTGTCCCGTATCGTCACTCACTGTCCTGTCACTGGGAAGTTCTACCTAGGTATATGGTCGAGCGAATTCCCTGGTGGCTCTGTTGTTGGTGATTCTCTGGAGGTGGTCTTGACATTAACCTTAGGCTCTTCAGCCGCTTGACTTTCTGCTGGAAAGTTCTTCTCTGGAGACACCAGTTCTTCATTAATGTACTTACAAAAATGAACTTTCATTTTGGACCATCTGTTCTTCTGGATTCTGTAAACCACAGCATTGATTCTTTTCAGTACAACATACGGCATATGGCCCTTCCCATAACCTGCTTAACTTTGGAATTTGTCCTTTCTTACAGCTATACCATATCACCTCAACGGAATCCAGTCTCGTCAGCATTAAAATCGTACTGGCGTTTCATTTTATCACTAGTTAATTTAAATATTTTCCAGGTAAAGTCATGTATGGCATAAATGGTGTCCCTCAGTCTCTACATATTCTGTGTAAGACTCTGTTGAGTGACTATCCTTCAGGAGTGAGTACAAAAGGTCCAATAACACTTTAAGTTGTACCCCAAGCATCAACGATGAAGGTGTATTCCTGTACCTTCGTTTACTGTTACTTGATGACTCCTAAGTATCAGTAGAAGAACTTGGTCCATATTTTATGATGTTTATCCACAAAAATGGCTAATTTATTTAAAAGTGTGCAGTTGTATCTTTTTCACAAAGCCATAGGAAAATAGGTGAGCAACTTTTGTCTCATTAAAACCTCATGCACAATATAAAAAAATAAAAATAAAACATCATCAATAGATATATGACCACAAATCAAACATGAAATTTTGTCAGTTTAAGAGAACTGAATTGTATTGTTAAATACAAAATAGTTGCAATCTATAACGAAAACAATGAACGTACATATTGACTTAATTAGGGCACTTCGGAACAACCACGCTTTAGATCTAAAGTCGTTTGAACTTCATTTTTCATCTAACAGAGAAACCTTGAAACGAAGTAAATGCAGAAAAAAATATTTTACTTTCATGAATACAAGAATAAATTAACTTCAAGTTTTGGGTAAATTCAATAAGATGATTAAACAAAAAAACTTAATCTGTGAAATCAGTGAATCAACTTAATATTCACTTGATACAGTGGCGTCTGTGGGAAATGCATCATGATAACTAGTCTCTGGGATTCGGGTTTAGTAATATTTATCAGAAGAGTACGAAGCATCTTCACAACGCAGGTTACAAAAATCTCATGCATAGAATAAAATGAAAACGAACAGCAAATGAAATACTAATAGACACAAGTGAACAAATAAAACAAAACTTTTATTCACAGTAAAATGTACGCTGTAAATATTTAACTTAATGGCTGTATTCAAATTTGAGCTATAATTCTAACTGGCTGCTGGGACAGAAAGAAAGTTTCCAAAACGTCCAGTGAGTGACAAGACATTAATTCTGAGATACCAAACCTTCAAGTCAGCCCAGAGTCCCACTTTGGCATCTCACGCTCCTTAAATTATTTACGTCATTCTAAAGAAACTCAAACTAACTTACACAATTCTCTATACCAACCTTTTCTATAAGTATCACCCCACACCAAGAAAGTTTTAGTCCATGGAACACGTGTTGTGGTATGTAAGCTTCAGTTAGGAGTAGAGGGTTAATGCAGATTTACGACCTTCCTACATTCAGTGTACAAGGCAGTCACAATGATATGCAGAACACTTAAAAGGAAATTTAGGAAAACGTTTTGGATACAGAATGATTAATTAGCATGTTATGTCAAATGATTTTGAATATAGAAATAAGCAATTTATATAACACCACCACAGACATAGAGTCGTGATGAAACAGCATGCATTAGAGCAAGATTTTAGCATTGTATAGGTAGTGTGATGACACTAAAAACTTATCACTTTTGGGAAAGATATATATATATATATCAACCCTTTCTAATGCAAAATATTCAGACATGCAGATCGTAAAGATGTGTTCAGATGAGAGATTTGAAATTTCCAATGTGAAGATATCTGTTGTAGTTATTGTAACTGGAAAATAAAGAAATGTATATCAACTTGGACATCAAAATGAGAGTTATACCTTATAATTCTCTTGTTGTGCCTGTCCTGCTGTATGGTTGCGAAACGAAACGTGGCAGATGTACATATGAACAGCCTGCATTGAATATTGAAATTATCATGGAAGGATAAATTATCAAACACTGAGATCCTGAAGTGCACAGAAGAATATGACCTGATGGATTTAATCAGACAAAGAAGATTAAGATGGATGGGTCACATCATAGGAATGGATGACAAAAGAATTGTGAAGCAAGTGATGAATTGAAAGGTGAAGGTGGAAATAGAAAGAGAGGACGACGAAAGCTCACGTGGAAAAAATGTATTTAGAAAGATATCAGTGAAAGAACTATCACATGGGAAGACATGGAAAAGATTGCGCTTGATGGAAGAAAGTATCGTCAATGGATGGCCCAATGTGTCAGGAAACACAGGATGGACTAAGTGTTAAGCAATATCAAAGGCACCAGGACCATCCAGAAAGAGAGCAACAAGTCAGCTCATCTGTGGTAAACAAAGTGTGGCATCTTGTAATAGGTGAGAATCCATCAACACATAGGTCGGTGGAAAAAGCCATCCCTCTGTCCCTCGTAACATAATCAACAAGGATAATTATCCTGGAAATGACAAAAGTTATGTGTACAAAAGTTGCATCCATGACACGTCTGTTCAGTCTGCATAATTCAAGCAGCTGGAGAATGAAATGGATATTTATGCTATTCTGTACGATGCAGCGTCTATGTATTACTACGAGATCATACTGTTGAAATTGGCACT